TTCCACGCTCGATACTGCGTACGTTTGACTGGTAAGGATGAAATCAATTTACGAAATAATTTTCTCTCTAACTAATTATTAAATATAATATCATTCTCTCTAACTAGTTATTAAACGTAATTATTACACAAGAAATCTTCTAATATTTACATCCAGTGGCGTATCTATTTTCCTGTGCTGTAACGAAGATTTGACGTAAATTTTACGATCCGATATAAAAATGGTTACGTGTTTCAAAGGCGCTTAATAAATTCTGTTAATTCACCGAATTAGATTCGCAAGAAGAAAAAAAAAAAAAGAAAAAAATACACGCAGGATCACTTAGATTATTTTGTCGATGTCGTTATCGAGATCATGCTGGTTAACTAACTCCGTCTATAGTAGATAAGTACGACACGGAATCGATATGACAGGGATACGTTCAGCGCGTTGGAATTCTTACGAGCAGGTATAAATCAGGCCGCGGATAAGCGGCACACGTTCCTTGTCGATTCTTATACAGAAAGCACGGAAGCTCCCGTCATTTGTTCCGCAAGCTCTCCTCTTAATACGTCGTTTTTTCATTTCTATCACCGGTAAATAGGACTCACGCCTCTTCTTCATCTTCCGGAGGATGAAGCGTGTTTGCCACGGTTTTCAGTTCTCGTGAAAATAGTTCGTTCATTGCAAATACTTCGTTTAACTCTCAATTTGAGAGGCGAATATCAACGATGAAGATTATTCGTTGGGATCGTACGCAGGAATTTTATTTCTCTAATAATAACTAACATCATGTACGTATTCGTTTCTTTAATTAATACGCACATATTTAGTGAAATGAAGTGTGTGAGTTTGTATGTGATTTTGTCCAAATTATCGTTAAATTGACAACATAATGTTACAATATATGCTTATATTAATAAATACGATTACAGATTATCGCATGCAGAAATTTCATTTCGTTAACCAATGTGATATATATGATACATACTGATTGTAAGTGTATGAAACAAAAATGTATAACAAGCATGTATGTGAGTTAGTTGTCTTAGTTATCCGTGCTATTATTAAATATCTAAATGTAAACTTTTATAACAATTTTAAAAACAGAGAAACTTTAAAGCAGAATCTCATCGAGTCATTGAGAAAAGTTATTTTAATTCGAAAGATCGGAAGAGCAATAATCAACTATAAAATTCACAAGGAAAGTGAAACATGTTTCTATCTAATGAAAAAGGTCTAAAAGGTTCATACCTACTTGCGAGGTGCTCGATCCCATTCCTACTCGCAACGATTACGCCGAAGTGAAATATCGGTTCGCCATCTCGTCTAGCACAGTGTAGACTTCCTCCTGCGTCGTTTCCGGTTGCATCTTCCTTTCCCGTCGTGGACAACGCAACGTGCGCCAATTCCGAAAAACTCATTTTTCTCGAACCAGCTACGAGCTTCGTCCGCAATCGATACACACGCGACTCTGTTCTTTCGTCCAACAGTGCTTTTTTTTTCTCTCTGGAAGAAGTTGGTTGGAAGCTTGTCGGGAACTAGATTCTTGGGAAATGTCAGCGCAACGGGCAGAAACTTTTCGGAAGAATCTCAAAGTCACTCGATAAATTTGCAACGATCCCGGTCGATTCCTTTGTTGTCATCGCGTTTCCAGAACTTTCGTTTTATTTTATTTGTCGCTTGTCAGGCCATGCATCGAGTTCGAAAAGTTTTTCAAAAGTTCTTCCTTCCTCGTTTGTTGGGTAATTTCTGAGTTCACGTCGTCGAATTTTGTGAACGTGCGTGTGTCATTCGCTACGTTAGTGAATAGTACAATAGAAGTATAGAGAATTTGATTGTGCAGAAGGATGATTCTGCTGTTACGTTGAAAAGCGCAGTAGTGAAAGAGAATTTTTCTTTTTTTTTTCATATTCACTCTTTTTCCACAACTTTTATAATTTTCCATCAAAAGAGCAAAATAATGAGATAAATTATTGTAAAATTTCTCTTCTCTAGATTTCCTTAAAATATAATATATTGTATTTGTAATTATCGTATTCTATTTCTTGAACATATTATATTACAGTGATTTCATTAAAGTAACATATTATAAAATTTCTTCATGCCGATCCAAACACAATTTTTATACATCTACTCTAATATTTTAAAAAAATATAATATTTATTACAATAATATCGGTAATAGTAATAATACATATTAAATATTCAAAATGTAGAGCGTCATAAAAAAGTTCTTACAAATCTAAAAAAAACTGAACTACATTTCCTCAGCTTATGTACATAGTAAATGTATATAAATATATTTTGCTACATACAAGTATATTTATTATAAATATAAAAATCCATTTTACAAGAGGACTAAAATCAAACATGCTTCCCTTCTTTTTCATCTTCTATTCTCGTTTCCTCCGAAGCTTACCAAGCCGATGGAAAGAGTCAAAACTTGAATAATGATGCATCGTTTCCAGCATTCTTGCCACCGCTGGAAGGGGTTGACGGTGTCAAAGTCACGGCAGCGTTCATGGGACCAAACGGGAGGATCGAAGATTCAGGGTGACACGGAACGGGGTGAAATTGGAAGCTGAATTGTATGTAATTGACCCGGCAGGAACAAAGCTCGCTCATTAATCAATGGTGACGTAGGGCTGACGTCACGTCCCACGGGTTGGCGCAATGCAGGCGCGCTTACTGGTCCATTTATTTACCATTAACGGCTCATTAGTGCGCCAGTATTCATCTGTCTGGCCTGCATGCAACTAGCCTCGCTCTTTTCACGCGGCACGAGTCAGCGGGCCTATTTCCCTCGCTCGAATTGCTCGGATCGCTTTCATTCACGGTCGATTCTGGCTTGTCCCCTCGCGCTTTTTGTACCATTCGTACCTCTCATCGAGTCGTCTGACTAATTCGGGATTTTGTTGGTACCCTGTGAGAGAAATATAATAAATGGTTAATTATAGTGATTTCTTTTTTTTTTTGCGTAGATTTAAATTTTTACGAACATAATCAAAAGATACCTTCGAAACGTCTAATATTTGACGTTAGAGCTATCGACGATTAAACTAGTTTTACTTTTGATATTAATATATTTTATTATATTACTCTGTTGTGAATCTACAGAAATAGAAGAATTATGAATCGATCATATTTTTTTACCATAATTCGATTGTTAATAATTGTAACGAAAAGCGCAATAGCGATGAGAAATTATCAAAGTTCAATAAAATAACGAGAAAAGATCGTTCAAGTATGTATGTTGCTTAAAAAGGAGAAAATCATAATGGATTTAGTCATGAAAAAAATTTTTTCAATCTTTTGAATTTTGATAATATCCTTACTCTTTCATTTTTGAAAGAAACAAACTCAGTATATTATCAAAACAGATGCTCTATGTTTCAAACCGATAATTTCTCTACTCTAAAAATATAGTAAGCTTAAAGTCGTTTAAAATTAATCTTTCTAGAATCAACGTCGCGAGAGACTTACGACCATCGCGTTGCGTTTCTTTTATAAAATAGCTTCGTCCAACACCATCGCCGATACTACTTAAACTTTAATAAACTTCGGCAATGTCTTTAGCAATTATAAGGTTAGCTTCTGCAAAGATTGATCGCAACGTAAATGGAGATCCTGACGATTTAATGACTCTTGGATATTTTATTGGCTTTATTAATAGTGCCATTTCGAGGAAATGAGATTCAGTTTTATTTCGAGATATCCGATTCATGGACAAGGATTTTGGGTTTCATTCCTCGGCAGATTCGTAGTGAATTATTGATGTATCGAAAGATGTTATTTATTTATAATTATAGTGAATTGATAAGTATCAGTGAACAGATACGTTTATTGAATTATCGTCGATAGCTCTACATCGTTATTAGATTACGGATGTTTCTACAATCTCATATATAAAGAACAAATGTTGTAACAACACTTTCGATATTTTATAGAACTAAGTAGTTAATATATCTAGTAGATAGTTAATATATAAGTTTTATCTAATTAAGTAAGTAATACGACTTTCGATTTAAATAGAAATTACTTATTAACAATTGAACATTTTCATATTTATTCTTATTATTAGATAATGCCGATGACTAAAGCAGAGAAATTAATGCGGATAAGAAACAGGAAAAAGCTTATGATACAATAAAAAAAAAAGCACAAGCCTTTATGCATGCATTTGGTAAGTTTCTAGTTTTCCCAATTTTAGCTTTTTCGCTGCACTCTCTCTTTCTTTTCGTTTTGTTCTTTCGATCTTCCATATTAAGCAATATGAGATCTAACATTTTTTCTGTTCATTCGTGTTTTATTTAAAAAAAACGTAAAACGTTAAAAGTCAAAACTGGAGAAAGCTGCGAAACTAAAAGTTTATCATATGTTTCGCTGAAAATCGTTTGGGTCTCTGAAAACTCTTACACTGTTGTAAATATATAAAATTTCTATGGCAAGTCGTAAATCGGTCATTTCGTAGTTCTGATTTTATAAAATTCCAATAAAAAAGCATGTTATAACAATTGTTATATGAACGAACTTCCTTCAAACGTAATATTACGTAGTATTTACCGAATAATAATGCAACAATCATTCTTCTTTCAAGCTGAAATATTTGAAACGAGCGAAACTATGTATTCTCTATATCTGTATTACTCACAGGATCGAGATATCCTTCCACAGTCGTTCCAGGATTGATCTTGTCACTGTGAAATGATCAATTGTAACATCATTTGCTTCTTACTTAGCTACGTATACTTCTCTAGGCTATTCTCTTCTTTGGTCACAGATCGTCCACGAAAACGTAGAGTTTCCTTTCGTTCTTCGCGCGGTGAATCAGGCTTGGCTCGGATGAAAATTTCAACGGTAGAGAAAAATCGACGTATAAAGGAAGTGGGGAGTTCGAGGAAAGAAAAAAAAAAAAAGAAAAAAGAAAACGAGCCACGTTACCGTAAAAATCGTGGCACGCTTGCCTTCCGAGTTTTATCTCGATCGTAAGAGGAGCGTGTGCGCCACGGTATGATCCTACCTGTGAAACGTATAGAAGAGTATAAGTAACATATAATGTAACATGCAGGACGAACAACGAATGCCAGATAAACCGGAAAGGAAAGAAAGGTTAATAGATAGTAGGAGAGAAGATACCTCGCGATACGTTTCCACGACGGCAAGCGAATTATTACCTTCCTTTATTACCGTTTCGTTCGTACGTGTATCGACTACGCACTTTATTCGCATGGTTGGTACGTTCCGCTGGATTTTATTTTCTCTGCAGATCTGCAGGAGGATGCGGTAGACTCATGGTTAGCCCTTCGAATTTGGACTACGATGCAATGGAAATGTTTCCCTTTGGGCCGAGTTACAACTTTTCTCATTTTGTTATTTAAAGAAAATATTTCCTGCTTGTGTATCTTTAAAAAGTTTGTGTTAACGATAAAATGTTTCAGATGGAGAAAATAGGAAAGTCACAAGTATCAGTGCTTGATACTTATCATGTTGACAGATTTTAATTATGTACATGTAAAAGTTTAATAAATGCCGTGTGGAACGATAATTTGATTAATTATTTTTCACGTTTGTGAAATATGCACTTTCTGCAAAAAATCAACGACGAAGAAAGTATTAAACAAATTCTGAAGATTCTCTTCCACGAACAATGTAAATTAGAAAAAAAAAAGATTCAATACTAAATTTTTTACTCACTGCCGTATTCGTCACATTGCGAAACGGTAATTATTAAATAATATAATTAATGAATTCTAAGATAAAACTAGCGAATAGTAATACTTTTTATTAAAATATAAGCCACGACAACACCTTATTTTTCAAGTCCAGACCATCAGGTACCATATTAACGTATATAATGAATTCACCTATAATATCACAATAATATTACAAACACTTCGAACTTTTTAAAATTTCATAAAAATATTATCACGGAAAGGTATTGAGCAAATAACGAATGAAATGTTGCTTTGATGCAACGTTGATTTTCAATGAATTAAAAGAACAAATATGATTCGTCAATGATATGACCATTATGGGCAAGTATTTCAATGTTATCCAAACGTACAAACTCCGTAATAAGAAACGATTAAGGGGCATATCTCGACGTTTAATCGAAGGAAGGCAAAATCAAAGACACCCAAGTTAAAGTGGTCAGTTACGACGGATAGCGTTGAGGAGCGATGGCGCGTTTAAGTTTCCACAGGGACTGTCTCGTCTCCGTGTAATTAAACTTCCGAGCTCTTAGGAACTAGCGTAGATCCGAGCAAACAGCACCTAGCAGTATCTGACTAACTCCTTTCCGGTGGTGAAGTCGAAGCTGCTCGTCGCTCGCTTGAATCCAATAAATACGTTCCCTCGTTGTTGGCCGCCATTGCTGCGCAAGTTTTCAACCAGCGGATAATAGTGAGAATTAATGGCCGCGTTTTGAACCGATTCGAAATTCCACACGTCTGTTTTTTTCTTCAAAGCACTGGGTCTGTTCTATTTTAATTGAAATGCAATTCATTGGTGGATTCCTAGTTGAATTATATTGCCGTCATTACGAACAGTTTTGTTTGGACGTTTATGTATGACTGATTTGTAACAGTAATTAATTGGAATTTACGAAACGTTTAGATGTGATTTTAATGATATTCGAATACGTCATTGTCAGTGTGTGTCAATTAAATTTAATATTGAATTTCTATATTACGTACATTGTCTTTATATGGTTTCATATTGTATGTTAGTTTTAAATTATCAGATGTATGGCTGATAACTATGTAACTATAATTATTAAGTACGTGAAAAACAATACAAAGTTTTGCGAAGAAAAATCTTCAACAATACCTCGTAAATGATGAAATATAAGATGAAAATCTTATACGTTGACAACCAATCATCTTAGTTTTACCAAATATCTATACATTTCTTTCGTAACTTACAATGACCTCAATTTTAAACTAAACGATTTCAACGATTGTATTCAATTCTATTAAACTTTTACGATATAGGTGTTTTTAAAAATACAAGTTCAAATAATGGTCTAATAATCTAATAATAGTAATAATAAGACGCAAATGATAATAATCAGTCTAACAATTAGTCAAATTTGTTCGATAATAATTCTAGTGTAATTTGCTACAATATTCAATAAACGAAAGAAATCTGTAGATGTTTTCAAAAATGTAAATTCTAAAAATAACAAGTGCTAAATCTATTTATCCGTACCAAGCATAATTAATTCCACAAAATATGATTAATTTAATAGTCGAATAATAGTAGTCTATTTAACAATTAGTTAAATTTGTCGGGTAATAATATCACTGTATTATTAATAAACGAAAGAAATTTTCAAAAATGCACATTTGTCTAAAAATAATCAGTTGAAACACACTAATAATTGTGAACTAGTAACAACAATAGCTAAATTTTTTTATCCGTACCGAGTACAATTAATTTCAGAAAATATGGTTATTTTAATAGTCGAATAATAGTAGTCTGCCTAACAGTTAAATGCCTAAATAGTAAAATAGTAATAATAGTCTGTCTAACAGTTAGTTAAATTTGTCTAGTAATAATATCACTGTAATATTTAATAAACGAAAGAAGTTTTCAAAAATGCAAATTTGTCC